TTTTATTCAATGATCTTTTAGGTCTAGGTTACATCTCTATTTATAATAGAAAACCCTGGTACATAATTACAAAATCAACCCTGTACCGTACCGCGGGGGCTACGCCCCCACACCCCCAACCCACATAATTCGTAACCCCACAACGAGACTTTTTATGAGCCATACATAACAAATCTCCACCTTGGCGAATATCCTGCCCCTTGGAAACTTCAATGTGGGTTGGGTTACCTTGCTTCTTTAACAACTCGAAACATTCAACAAGTCCAAGCAATGCTTGAACTTGTCTGTCGTAACTGGCTTGGTGAACATATCAGCGGCATTCTCATCAGTATGTACCTTCTGAAACAAAACCTCTCCAGATGCAACCAACTCTCTGATCTTGTGGAACCTTACATCAATATGTTTAGTTCTAGCACGATACACCTGATTCTTAGCCAAGTGAATAGCACTTTGATTATCACAAAGCAACTGAACTCCACCTTGTTGAACACCTAACTCCTTCACTAAACCAGTAAGCCATAAAGCTTCTTTTGCAGCTTCAGCCGCTGCCATGTATTCAGCTTCAGTTGTAGATAGTGCCACGACAGATTGAACAGTAGACTTCCAGCAAATAGGCCCTCCACCAAGAGTAAACACATACCCTGTCGTAGATCTTCTATTATCCAAGTCACCTGCATAATCTGAATCCACATATCCTACAACCAAAGGATTATCCCGCTGACTCCCAAAAACAATTCCATGTCCCACAGTACCCTTTAAGTACCGAAAGATCCACTTGACTGCATCCCAATGTTGCTTACCAGGTTTAGACATGTACTTACAAACTTGACTAACAGCATGAGCTAAATCAGGACGAGTACATACCATCGCATACATCAAGCAGCCAACAGCATTAGAATACGGAACCTTTGCCATATTTTCAGCTTCCTTATCTGTCTTAGGGCACTGTTCTGATGAGAGCTTAAAGTGATTTGCCAATGGAGTGCTAACTGGTTTCGCGCTGCTCATCGCAAACCTTTCTAGCATTTTCTCAACATAACCCCGTTGAGATAGCCGCAGTTTCCTTGAGTCTCTGTCCCTGCAAATTTCCATTCCAAGAATTTTCTTTTCAGCACCTAAATCTTTCATATCAAATTCCTGACTCAATAAAGTTTTCAAACCGATAACATCATCCATGTTCTTCGCAGCAATCAACATATCATCAACATACAGTAATAGAAAAATAAAAGAACCATCATCAAGGCTCTTAACATAGACACAACAATCATACTCACATCGGTTGTAGCCAATCTTGATCATATAGGAGTCAAACCGTTTATACCACTGTCTCGGAGACTGTTTTAACCCGTACAAAGATTTCTTCAATCTGCAAACTAAATGCTCGTTTCCAGGTTGAGTGAAACCTTCAGGTTGCCGCATGTAGATCTGCTCCTCTAAATCACCATGCAAAAAAGCAGTTTTAACATCCATCTGCTCTAAATGCAAATCCCAACTAGCCACCAATGCAAGTACTGCTCGGATTGAAGTGTGCCTGACCACAGGAGAAAAGATTTCATCATAATCAACTCCTTTCTGCTGTGAAAAACCCTTCGCTACCAAACGAGCCTTGAACTTCTCCCCCTCTTTTTCTGTTACTGCTGGTTTCTTCTTATACACCCATTTGCAACCAATCGGCTTCTTACCCTCAGGAAGGGGAACTAACTCCCATGTGCGATTGTGATTCAAAGACTCCATCTCCTCAACCATGGCTGCCATCCACTTGTCGTTTTCCTGACTAGTAACGGCATCATGAAAAGTAACTGGATCATCACTGCTAACAGTAAGTGCAAAAGATACCAAGTCTTCAAAACCCAATCTGTTCGGAGGCTTTATATTCGTCCGTCTCACCCTGTCTCTGGCGAGACTATAATCCTGCAAATCATCCGTAGTGGAACCACCAGAAGTCGGTTGAGAAGTTTCTGGTTTCTCAACTGGAAACTGCTCGAAATCTACCACTGTCGTGTCTTGCTTCTGCTGCAACATAGACTGTTCATCAAAAACGACATCTCTACTAATCACAACTTTCTTTGCAACTGGATCCCAGAACTTGAATCCTTTGACACCTTTCTTGTAACCCAGAAAAATGCACTCCTTCGATTTTGCATCAAGTTTGGATCTCTCATCAGCAGGTACATGCACATAAGCAGGACAACCAAAAATCCGTAAGTTATCAAAACTAACATCATGACCAGTCCATACCTCTTCTGCAACTTTCCCAGCCAGCGATGCCCTTGGCGATCTGTTGATAAGGTAACACGCCATGTTAACAGCCTCAGCCCAGAAGTGTTTGGGAAGCCCCGCATTCAACCGCAAACATCTGGCTCTTTCATTCAACGACCTGTTCATTCGTTCCGCAACACCATTCTGTTGTGGTGTCTTGCGCACTGTAAAATGCCTCTGAATCCCATGCTCCTTACAGAATTATAGGAACCGTGAATCTGTGTACTCCGTACCATTATTAGACCGCAAACACTTGATTTTTCGTCCTGTTTGGTTTTCTACCTCAGCTTTCCACAGCTTGAACTTCTCAAAAACTTCAGATTTCTGTTTCAAAAAATACACCCAAACTTTCCGTGAAAAATCATCAATAAAAGTAACATAGTACCTAGATCCACCCAAAGACGATGTCGTGGAAGGCCCCCATACATCAGAATGCACATAATCAAGAATCCCTTGAGTTGTGTGCTTCGCAGTCTTGAAACGGACTTTAGTCTATTTACCAAGAACACAATACTTGCAAAAATCGAGCTTACAGCTTTTGACACCATGCAACAAGTTTCTCTTGTGTAATTCTGCCATACCACGTTCACTAAGATGAGCAAGACGCATATGCCACAATTTTGTCGTATCATCACAGGACTCAACAGAGTGAACTCCACCTGCAACGGTACTCCCTAACAATCTGTAGATATTCCCTGCAGTCATCTTGCCTTTCATCACAGTCAATGCTCCTTTAACAATCCGAATGGTTTCCCTATCCTCGTCAGCCTTAGGGATAAAACCATTCTTGTGCAAAGTGCCCAAGGAAATCAAATTCTTCTTCAAGTCTGGGATATGTCGAACACCACTCAACGTCCGAACGGAGCCATCGTGCATCTTAATTCTGACATCACCAATACCAACAATATTGCAACATCGATCATCACCCAAATAAACCGAACCAGAATTAACCGGCCTGTATGTCGAAAACCATTCCCTATTTGGCGTGATGTGATAAGAACATCCAGAATCAAGAATCCAATCATCCGTCAATTGTGTCGTTGAAATAGAAAGCATATCACCCTCACTGCAATCAGAAGTATCATCCTCGACCACGTTCACAGACTTGGATGAGCCATCACGCTTCTCATCGGTCTGCTTTTTCAACTTCGGACAGTCTCGCTTCATATGTCCCGCCTCCTTGCACTTGTAACAGTGAATCGTCTTCTTATCCCTGGATTTGGATCTGGAATTCCGCTTCCCGGACCCTGCCTTCTCTAGCTTCCGTCCACGATCTCGATTACCCTTGACATATAAGCTATCGGCTTGAGAGCTTTCCCCTGCATTCTGTTTCCGCTGGTTGTGAGCCAACAAGGCTGCAGTAATCTCCTCAACGTTGATAGTCTCTTTCCCATATGTAAGAGTAGTCACCATGTGTTCGTAAGAGGAAGGCAACGAACACAACAGAATCATCGCTCTGTCTTCATCCTCAATTTTCACATCAAGCCGAGCCAGATCAGAAACGATTTGATTGAAGACATTCACGTGTTGCGCCAAATCGTGATCGTCCTGCATCTTCAGCCCATACAGCCGCTGCTTCAGATACAGTTTTGTCGTTAAGGATTTGGACATAAACTGACTTTCCAACTTCCTCCAAATTTCGTCTGGAGACGATAGATGCATGACGTGATACATGACCTCGTCCACCAAGCATAATCGTATGGTTCCTGCCGCTCGCTGCTGTAATTCTTCCCAATCTTCCTCATCCATCGACGCCGGCTTTGTAGGTCGCAAAGCCTTCAAGATCCCTTGCTGCGCCAATAGATCCTTCACCCTCGTTTGCCATAATCCGAAGTTACCCTGACCATCGAATTTCGCGACTTCGAATTTTGCTCCTGACATCTGATACCAATTGTTGACGAAAACGGGTAAAGAAAACGAAAGAACACGAGAATTTTACGAGGTTCGGCAATGTGCTTACGTCCTCGGTGCCTAGGCGGCGCTAGAAGTTTTATTCAATGATCTTTTAGGTCTAGGTTACATCTTTATTTATAATAGAAAACCCTGGTACATAATTACAAAATCAACCCTGTACCGTACCGCGGGGGCTGCGCCCCCACACCCCAACCCACATAATTCGTAACCCCACAACGAGACTTTTTATGAGCCATACATAACAAGCAGGTAGTTGACTGTTTCATTTCCACTAAATAAATGTCCTATTTTACTTATCTGCCTCTGCGAAATGTTTTTTAAACTTATTTGTAAGTTCATAAAATCAAATAATACTTTTTTAGAAGAATATATCGAATCTTTCTTGATTTACTGTGTCTCACATTCATCAGAGATTATATCTGTTCCAATGTCGGTATAAGACCATGGCAAGTAACCTAGTCTTATCGGTCCAACTCTGACCAAGTAAATGCTTGTTATGTTTATAAGTAAATGTCAAAAGGCTCCAGCCATATTACTGTAGAATGTAACCGAGTACTAGATAAGTTCTGACGTGTATTTTATGTTTATCTACTTAGGAGATAAGTTAGATATTCATTAAGTAGTTTAGATAAGTAGAACTCCTATGAAAACACCAACATAATAGGACCCTACAGTTGTAAATTTCAGCCTTTTTAATCAAGGCTATTTTCTGTAAGTTTTTTTACGAATGAGAATTCAGAGAAAGTAAAACACTCTTCTTTTTCTCTAAATCTTTCTATTACGTTTCCATGTTATACTTTTATTTCAATTTACCTACTTGATTTGGTACATTGAACACGAATAAAAAACGAATGAAATTTTGTATAATTTAACATCTCATCAGTCTAATCAAATGTTAATCACCATTTGCAGATTCATGCTACACTCCCACGCTTGATCCTGCACCTACATGATGATGACCTTGCTGTTAGACACGCCTGTCGTGTAAGTGATTATCTTCAATGCCCCTTTGTGCATTTAGTTTATTAAGAGTGCTTCTTTTAAATGATGTCTCTCTTTTTTTCTTTTTTCAAATAGAACACCCTCAAGCGGTTTGCCCCTTTAATGGAGATAGAAGGGTTTCTGGCTTTGTTCAACTCACATAGTATTAACTCCGACCATAGGTATTCAATAATGACTCCTGAAACAAAGTAACATTACAGTTGTCTTTCTTATTTCGTTATTTTGAAATATATCTTGCCTCCATTCAGAAGTGATTACGAGGACTTTGTACGAGATTTTACAAGGCAGTTTGTGCAGCATCTTTCCTCCAGAGTTGATACTTTCATGGTATCAACTATACAGGTTTGTACTTATTCTATAAAATATTAGTCACTGAATATTTCCTTAGCGGCTACAGTGCAATTAAATTGTTCTTTAAGTCTTACAATCTAAATTGAGTGTATGTGAGTTTTCCTCAACTACAATGCATACGTCAGTTGCTAGCTTTCGTGGAAACTGGAATCTACTTGGTTCTGATAATGCAGGCTTTTGATGCACCATGGCCAATAATCCAAGCAAATGCTATTTATGTATCCAGCAGCATACTCTCACTTTTGGATGATCAGAACATTTTGGCTCTTTATTATGCACAGGTTACATTTCTGAAATATTCCTGCCAATAAATTGTTTACTATCATTACAGTTCTAGGAAACACATGCCTGAAAAGTGTTTACCATGATTTAGGTGTTTGGAATGCTGGTTGGCAAGATGAGTCGGTCAGCAGATGCGGTTGTTAGAGCTAGAAGCTCTTCAGCTTTCGGCTTATTACTTAAATCAACTAATTCAATATCCTGGAGAGCAGCTCGACTTGATCGAGCTGACTCTGCCAGAAAGGGATCATAATGCGCTTACCAGGATGAATGATCGAGTCAGATCATTGTATCTGTATGTACTTTGAGCCATGCCCATCTTTGATCCGAATAAACTAAGCAAGTTCGGTTCTATACGGTTAGGTCAATGTTTAAGAGTTCCAAAGAGGTTTTCCGATTTGCTGATGTGCGGTGGGGTTTCCTGTGAAATGTAATTTAAGTTAGGTTCAGTCATGGTTTTAATGTTCCGAGTTCTGTAAAATTATATGTAACCGTACAATTCTAGAATTTACATTTTGAGGCTGGGGTTGTCAAAACTCTAATAATGAGTTTTACGAGAGTTCTTATTTTAGAGAGATTTTTAATTTTTTATCGCAAAATAATATTGGAAAATATTAAAAATATTTTATTTGGAAGGACGAGGTTGGAGGTAGAGGTGCACAAAAAATTCGAATATCCGATTTTGCGCAAAAAATATCTGAAACCAGATTTGGGAAAAATCGGTTTTTTTAAACCGGATCGGATATTTTAAAACCGAATAGTATAACCGGTTTGAAAAAAAATTGGACGACCAGATTTTTTACCGGATTAAAAATCGGATAAAAAACTGGTTTTTTATTCGGAAAAAAATTCGGTTTGGGGTTTAAAAAATTGGATGACCGGATTTTTTACCGGATTAAAAACCGGTTTTTTTAAAAAATCGATTTTTTTCAAACCGAAATCGGTTACACCGGTTATATCATCCGACCCTCCAAACCGGTTATGATCCGAACCGATTTTTTTATAAACCAGTTTTTTGACTTAGTGAAAAAAAACGGATCAATTTTTATCCGATCCGGATCGGATTTAAATCCGGCTATGTGCATCTCTATTGGAGGGTTAGAAAAAAAATTATAATCAATTGTAACATCAATCGGTTAATCTTAGATCGAATACTTTAAAAGTTATCCCATCTTAAAAGTTGAATAAGTTAGAATTAAATGTTTTTTTTTTTTAGAAAATTCAGAATGTGAATAAAGTTGAATTTGGAGCTTAAAATCGAGAAGGTAATATAGTTTTTTTCTTCCTTAAATTAAACGACATTTACACGGTTAGTCGTTAATGGCATCAGAAACAAGTACATCCGGTAAACAACCTAGAATGTCATACGAGAAATACAAGGCATAGAAATAGATAAAGCAAACTTAGCTAAGAATGTGCAGCGTTGTTAACAAGATGGATTGAGGATAGATCGAGCATCGGCGTCGTGAGTTGACATACTACATTAGCGGAGTCGCTCTCAACCCATACGCGATTTTGATTCAACTCTGTTGCCAAATGCAGTCCACATGTCACCGCTGTGGCTTCTGCATTCCGGTAATGGGATTGCCTGACAAGTCACCACCAACCCATGCTGATCTCGAGCGACCACTTCGATCGTCGATCTTCGTTCCAGACGAGAACAAGCCATAAAACAAACGAATCTTTGGCAGAACAGCCAATCGAGATAAGTAGAGCCAAGGCGGTACAATCGGCACCTGATTTGTCCGAGCAAGGTAAAAGTATCCCGAACATACAGAATACACGCCCGATGAATGTCCCGACCATATCATCTCGTCGCGCATAGTGGGGGCAATCGGACAAGCTAAAATGTTGGCAGAACCAATGGCGCTGAAAACAACAGATACTAGAGGAACATTCCACCGTGGCTCACCGGAGATCATAAATTCACCGCATTGCACTGGATCAACAACACTGTCAACATAGGTTGCAGCAAGGTGAATCGGACTGGAGGATCCCCACTGATCCACAAACATGCGTGTGTCACTGCTTTGACCAATTCGTCAGTGATAACCTTCACGAAACACTTGCAGGGCAGCAAAGATTCCTTGCCATGCAAATGATGGTCGAGCCCCTAGTCTCGTATTTCGGGAAATACTTGGCACGTATAACTCGTGTTAACAGACATGATGGAAAATGAATACAGCGCCAGATTTGCTTCCCAAGAAGTGCCAAGTTGAACGTTCTTACGCCCCGAAAGCCAAGACTACCAAGCCCCTTCGGTTGACAAACTTTGCTCCACGCCACCATTGGCCACCCCCTCTCAGATGGGCTGCCAGATCACCAGTACGACCGGAGTGATGCCTCCATGTCAGTAATTGTTCCTTCAGATACGTAGGGATGGCCTGCCCAACAGTTTTTATATAAACTGCCCTCCCCCCAAAGGAAAGAAGATGCTTCATCCATCCCCGAAGTCTGGATAGTAATTTATCCCGAAGAAATCCAAATGCCTCAGTTTTATTACGACCCACAATCAACGGCGCTCCCAAATACCGGTCAGGTTCGTCAGTAACATTCACCCCAATTAGAGCACTTAAAGCAATCCGATCAGCCTTGGATTATGATTGAAATGCGTAGTTTCCCTGTGCAAGGAAACCCAACAGGCAGACCGTCTTGTAGTGTAATCTTCCAAATTTTTCAAAAGTTTCTTTTAGTTCTCCATTTGTCTTCAAATCCTAACCACCCTTTGAAATCTAAACTCAAATTTTATTGAATATTCATCAAGAAAATATCAAAGCAGCCGAAATTTTCAAGAGATGCATTAAAAATCATCAAGATATTTCAAGAATCGTAATTAAGTTGTCATTTTTAAAATTCTATTTTTTAAATATATTTTGATTTTATTTTATCGATTTCGGATTTCTTCTATAAAAACAAATCTTTGATAGTTCTTCTAATTTTTCCCCTATAATGGATCTTGATTCAGCGTCCATGTATGTTGTAGGTTTTAAATTATTTTTAGATCGATTTAAAGTTTTAAATTTCATAAATTAGAATTGAAAACCTTAATCTTTCGCAATTTTTTGAACAAATCTTGAATTAGGATCCCTACTAAGTTTTCTAATTCTTTTAATCTGATTAATAAAATCCTAATCGTGTTTTAGATCTTTTATTTTAAATTCTGAAGAACCAAAAATTAAAAAAAAAAATCAGAATTTGAGACCAAGATCAGAAAAGAATGCGCCATTAATCATATTAGATCGAAGTTTAAGTAGGGTTAGGAATATAAAGATTTGAAAAAAGATATAGTTTAGCACTGAGTTTAGTCTCTCGCAAAAACTAGCTAGAATTTTCTGTTAACCTTAGATCATAGAGGAAAATTGAATTATGATTCGAATTTGGTAATTTTAGTTATCATGTGTAAAGTCGAGGATCGTCCGAAAACATGGTGCGAAGGGAAAATAAATGGTCAAAAGCTAGTTGGAACTAGAATCAAATGATTCACATATGACATATGAGGAAACTGGACGCCAGGTGAATTACGGTCCCATATTAGGTGGAGGGGGAGGGTAATTACCCTGTCCCTGCATCTGATGACGAGGAAAACCTTGTGGGTTGGGTGGAGGCCTAGGAGTGAAATTTCCCATTGTCCCGCTACCTCCCGGAGGTGGGGGTGGGGCCATAGGATTGCCACCAGGAGGCATAGGCCTGGGAGCATTTCCCATGGGAGGAGGTGGTGGCGGTAACGATCCAGGAGGTGTTGGGCCTCTAGGAGGGTTCGGCAGCCCTTGAGGTGGAGGAGGAGGTGGTGCTGGAGCATAAGGTGATGGAGACAAAGGCCTCTGTGGAGCACCTGGAGCTGTAGTACCATTGGCTGCAGGAGGAGGTGGAGGTTTGTTCGCCTCTAATGGCTTGGTTTTAAAGTATACCTGCAACTGCATTTTTGTAATAGCCAAAAATACACGGTTAAGAGACTGTCTAGAAAAATTTTGAAAACAAATTGATATATTTATGCAAAAATAGAAACTATTAACCCTGCCAAAGGGGGCTTTTAGTCGGTTAATTCAGCTTCATGGATAGTCCTCATTTAATGTCAACAGAGGCAAGTATAGAGGAGAGAGATAAATATATGAAGCAGTAAAGCTCATGTTAAGCAAACAAACCGTGAACATCTTTGAGTCGGGATCCCAATGTGAGAAGAACTTAGGAGTGGATTTATCGATCTCAGTGCTAGGGACCTGTAAAGGTAAATCAAATATATAAGCAAAAATGTTAACAGAATGGTAAGTGCTATCATAATTCAAATGAATCAACAGAATGGAAAATGCTATCATTGAATTACCTTGAAAGCTATGATCTCGTAGGGTTCTGCAGCAAACAGGAGATACTGATATCTCCTATCAAAGGGTTGCACTCTCTGCATCCATGATAAATAAACGTAGACGGACATATTAAAGTTTGCTTCTGAGAAGAGCCCATGATTGAATAGAGTTTTAAATTCTAGTTTTGGGACATTCTGAAGTTCAGGTTTTATTTCTTGTAGTGGGCCATAATTACATATACACAAAAGTGGAGCAGCATGAAAATCTGAACGATTTTAAGAGCAATTGTAAATTAGAGGAGGAATTGGGGGAAACAATCATTAGAAGCCGGTGAAGTCAAAAGGGAAATTAAAATATTATGCCAAACCTGCTCATAGGACGACATAACACGGTGCCTTGGCTTTGCATTATCTTCTATTTCAGGATATTCAATCTACATGAAACACCAAACAATAATTTTCCATAAACAAATAACAAATAAAACAAACAATTTCATAATGTAATTTAATTGCTGCAGTTGCACCTGGAAGAGAAGTGATCTCTGCTTGGTCTCCGGATCATATTGCTTTGTTACACGATACCCCGGCCTACCAATTTTGACTACACGAACAAACGAGCAAACTTTCATCATAAGTTGAGAAACAAATAAAGAGATTCAACAAACAGATTTGTGAATTGTCGTAGGTCCCTTCAGAAATCAAAGCATACATCCAATAAAAGTAGACATGGTTCCAACATAAACAAAATCAAAATGCAATTGTTAGTTGACTCAAAACAAGATTTAAACTTCAATTTCATTAAAAAAAACATTTTCAGGTCCTTAAATAAGAGATTTACTCTTTTTCTGCATAATCTCAATTCATCTTAGCCTAAAAAAGCAACCCTTGAACCGCTACTAGTACACAATACACACAGCGTTAGATTCTTAATGCATGACATTAAGTTGTCCATGACACTAAGTTTCTATTAAAAAATTACTAAAACTAACAAAAAGGAACTGCAGAAAGGAACAAGAGGATATCGAAAGATACGTGCCTGTTTTACGAACAGAAACTTTACGCTTGTGAGGCTGAGGCTGAGCCGGAGCCTCCTTAGCCTCACGCGCCGCTCTCTTAGCTAAATTGGTCTGGTGCCGTTTTCCTTGCGTATGTGCCAAGTAGTTCCCTTCATTGTTGTGTAGCGTCAAACAAAGCTTACACTCGTAACTACCCAAAAGCAAAAATCACTTTTAATCTCCAAAAGAATCGAACTTGTAAGGAGAAACGAGGGAAATTTTGGAAGATAATTTAGTACCTGCCGAGGTGGTTGCGCATGAAATAGGGATCTTTGGCGAGATCGATGGTTTCAAGAGCGAGTCGACGGAGCCGCTCACGGCGGTCCATGGCTTCAGTTTGGGCGGAGGCGGCACCTCCAGAACCGGGTTTGGAGCCCCATTCTCTATCCATGGTTCTCGGGATTCTTCCTCTGCCTTTCTCTTCTTCTTTGTTAGGATTTCAAATCGGGGGCTTTTCTGGGTTGCACACTGACTATTGATCTAAAACTAGCGATTTTGCCTTCCCAGATTGTGAATCGTTAAAAGCCTGACTGCTATTATTGGGCCAACTTATCGGGTTATTTTAGACGTTGCAAGTTTGGTATAACTTTTATTTTTAAAATTATCTTATAAAAGTGTGGTTTAAAATTTAATTGTTTCGAATTATCGTTAAAAGATGAATTTAAAAAGATAAAATATACATTATATACATTATATTGTAAATTTAAAATATAGCATTTAAATTATATTTACATTTATATATATGAATCATATCAATTTAAACTATAATAAATTCAAAAAATATTATCATATATATGAATTATATTAATTTAAACTATAAAAAAATACAAAAAAATACAATTATAATAAAATATATTTTATATAACTCACTATATTTTAATATATAAATCATAAATTTTATTTATTTTAAAAAAATTAAAATAAATTATTAAAAGTAATAAGTTATCTTTTGTAAGTATGTTAGTATTAAATTATTAAAATAAAATATAAATACATAATTAAGTGGAGCCCTGCATCGGTAAGAGTAAAATTATAATTTGTTTCTAAACGTAAAGTTGAAAATGAAAAAAACTAGAAATCTTAACTTTTGCGGTTCCACCATAATATTTTTTTTCATTTTTTACACGTTTGGCATTGATTATGCGGTCAAAATGGGCATTTTAGCTAAAAGTTTTTAGAAATCTTTACCAAACGCACCCTTAATCAATTGTAATTTATACAAATTTGAATCCATCAAACGAATTCAATGATAAAGAGAGAGCGCGTAATTTTCTCTAGAGATGTTGGGTTCAAGCAGTTATTATATTTATAGAGTGTGTGTTGTCAATAACTAAGAAAAATTATGAAAATATATTACATTGTCACCTCATATTATTAAAAAAAATGGCATACTTGAATAAAACTGGATCGACATAAATTTAATTGGTTATCCAAAAAAATGACAGATTTAAATAAAACTGGATTGAAATAAATTTAATCGGTTATTAAAAAATGGCAAGTTTAAATGGAACTAAATCGACATAAATTCGATCAGTTTAATTGACTAATCGAATTAATTGAGTTTAAGTTTAAATTTAAATATGAAGAAATTAGAATTATTAATTGTATAATATGTATTTAAATATTGACACTTTAATCCATTTTTTTCACATAGAAATCCTAATATTGGATTTGGAGTGACATTCGAAGTTTATGAAAATACCTTCTTATGATATTGCTTTATGAAAACAAACACTTATTTACCTTTATAGTCATAACAATTGAATCAGAAAATGAATGAAATTGAACTTCGAAAAAGAAATACAAATTATGCATGAAAACTTTTTTTCTTGACTTACAAACCATAAAGAGAGAACATCAAAGAATATTATCACAAAGGAGTCTATATATCAGCATAATGCATTAAAATTTGCCTTGTTTCTTTAGTTTTTAGGAACAAAGCATAACATAACTAGGGTTTTTCCCTGCCCTACAATGCTCGTTTCTATGGAGCCATGTGGGGGCATGTTTGAGCAGCAAACAACAGAAAATGATTCCTAAAAATTTCATAACTATATTGACATTGCCACTATTAGTGCCTGCTCAAGGGGTCAGAAATTTAAATTACAGTTACAGCCACGTTTTGTTCATTGCGATTGCAAACGTAATGAGTGATATTGCAGTCATTACGAGTATGACGGTGATACAATAATAATTTCAAACGCACTGAAATCACTATATAATTATCGGTATTCTAATAACATATCGCTATTTAAATCTCTTCCTGAGGCCAACTTGGTGGGACTGGACTGGGACAGTGTGGGTGAGAAGATTCACTGATTCAGGCCTTTTTTGCTTTATACACGCAGCAGGCATAATATACCTGGATGACTGATCTTTGCATGCTTGTCACATCACTTCAAAGCCTACACTTTGTATATGCTCCTCTTACTAATTGAGTGGCCACTGGCCTGGACGGCCTCGTTTTGCCTTCAACAACCAACAAATGCATTAAGTCAATCTAATTTGTAAAGCAGTGAATATGAAATAGTTTAAGATTGGGATTGGCTTTTTTGTTTGCTTTAATATCAGTGATACCACCATACATAGCTCTTTTTTTTTTCTTCATGGATTTGAATGTCTCGAAGCAAAGTGGGTGACATGGCGTGGCTTCTCAACGCCCACCAAATATGTCCATTAGCCCCCTTTTAAATAGAGGGTTGCTATTTGCATGGAAGGTGGATCAAGACTAAAAGGAAGAACTTGGTATATTTTGTAGGGGTTCCTTGTCCCTTTTTTGTTCTTATACATGGAGTTCTTATGTGTAGGGTTATAAATGAGATAACATAAATCGTAAGTTACTCGAATTTGATTCAGTCAAAACTCAATCAACATTTATGGACTCGATTCGAGTTTGTAACGATTCAAAGCGAGCTACTAGATACTCAACTCAAAAAAGCTCGCAACCAGCTCGCAAAAATAATATATAAAAATTTTAAAAATTTTAAAATAAATCATTAATAATATTAACATTTATATTTCTTTTAAATTTTAAAATTTTTAAAAATGTAATATAAAGCTTTCATGTACTTAAGGTTCAGGTCTGATCAATTTCAATCGAACTAAGTCTATTAATGATTTAAGTTCAAGTTTTTTCAAGCTCAAGTCAAATTTTAATTTTTAATTTTTGAATCGAGTTTAAAAATCTTAAGCTTGTGAGCTTTCAAGTCGATTCAATCTCAACTTTCAACTTTTTGAATCAAGTCAAGCAATACTCAAATTTGACTCTATTAATTTATGGGCCTACTTATATGCTTATTTATTTATTTATTCATGTGAATATGGGTTGATAAGACTGAACGTGTGTTTGGTTGGGGAAATGTGAGATTCACATGGGAATGGAATCCACATTCCCCGTTTGGTTGGCCGAGAATGTCATTTCCGGTAATCTTACATTACCAATAGTGGATTTTTTAGGGTATATTACCGGGAATGTCATTACCTCCCTTTCCTTAGGTATTGTTAGATTACCGGCGTTTTGGACTAAAATGCCTTTAAAAAAATTTTCTTTCAAAAATATATTTATCCTGTTATTAAATAATAAAAATTTTACGAAGGTTAAATAACAAATTTATCCTTAAACTATTTTAGATTTACAAAAAAAAAGTCTATAATTAAAATTTTATATGAAGTTCAGGGGTTAAAATAAAATTTTACCCTTTCATTAAACCTTTTTATATTTTCAATTTTGTAAAAAAAAATTATATAAATTTTACGAATTTAATTTTTTAAAGAAAATATATAAATATTTTCTAACTTGTTAAAAAAATAAATATATAATAAGGACAATTTGGTAAAATATACATTCCAATAATCTTTTATTCCTTTAACCAAAAACGTTAATCTTGCATTCCTGTTAAACTAACTAAATACAAAATACAACATTCCAGTAATCTTATTCTCTGATAATCTTTTATTTCCACTGGTAATCTTACAGTCCGAACAACGTAGCTTGAGAGATAAAGGCACTTTTTTGCAGTGAAAATCCTTTTGTCCAGTCTCAAACTATTGTAATTAATGCAATCATGGTTGGGTTTCCCAACCTTCTAATAATTAAAGCAGTGCTGACAACACGACATGAAGAGGTTCTGAATTAAAAGTTAGGTGCTGCCTGAATTAAGCATTGCCTAATGAATAAGCTAAATTAAGTGGCCAACCTGTTTTCACATGGGTCACTAGATTTACTATGATTCTAAAGACAAGTGTGAGAGTACAAGTAGTGAAGTGTAACTTGAGTCATGTCCTGCAAACCAAACAAGAGAACCTAATCCACCACTTTCGGTTGTGGAATTGGTGGTGGAAAACTCATGGCTAAAGAAATAAGTGGAAAATATGTATCTTTTTACGGATCAAATGTTACCATGAAAAAGAAAACATAAAGTTCACATGCTTTACCAAAGTAAGAAATTTTCAATTTTGACTAATATGGAACAAGCTGAGTTCAAAGAAATAATGAACAACTATGGATGGTATTTCAATGAGAAAATAATACAGTTTGATTAAAAAGATGGACATTGCATTTCTAGTAATGGCAATCAACCAAAGAAGAAGCCGAAAAGAGCAGTAGCTTTTCCTGCTTGGAAGCTAATGGGATTTTTGTTTCCCTTTGATGATCATCTTCTGGTGCTGGAAGGTTAAGATCCAATTGCAGAACGGTTCTTGATTTCTTGGACTTATCTTCTGATTCAGGCCTCACAATCCTTGTTCCGACACTTGTCGGAACACTATTTATTGTCCTATGCCTCCTCATATGGCCACCGAGAGCTTGTCCGGAAGAGAATTCGGCTCTACACATAGAACACTCGTGAACTTTGGGTTTGCTGTTATGGCCTAAAACAGGCTTATTGGTTATCTGAAGTGAAAGCGTTTTGTTCATGTTATTGAACGGCTGACGAACATCAAACACCAACCCTTTATTGCTTTCTTCATTATTAACAACCTTGGGTTTCTTGTGGCTCGCTCTGTGTCCGCCGAGCGCCTGGAATGAACTGAAACACCGATCACACGTCTTGCACCGGTGAACATCTATCCCGCTCATCACCATAGAAACCGGTTGGGGTGGCGATTTTCTCGTTTGACCTCGAGCCAAAAGTATCAAACAATTAGCCATGTCTTCGTCTTCCTCGGTGCTTTCTGCAAACTCAACAGATGTAGAATCGTCACCGTTTCTTCCACTTTCTCCTCCACTCGAAGACGTCGAAACCATCGCCAAACTCAGAGGAGAGAGCTGCCTTGGGCGCTTACCACGTTTCCCTTTGATAATCTGCAACTGATCGTTGCAAACAACATCTTCCTCCTGACCCTCCATCATCATCATCATCATCATCTCTAATCCAATACAGGTAACTAATAGATTGAAAGTCCAAGAATTTGGTTGGAAAGTATATTATGTTCCAAACCATGAAAGCTACAAATCATATATATAGATAGAGGGGGGGGGGGAGAAGGTACAATGGGGGAGTATGAGAAGGCGAGTGAGATTCGGTTGCCTTTTAAGCAAACCCATTACTTTTTTTCCCAACAATTCCTACTTGGAGAATTGGTTAGCAAGACTGGAACCACATAATTTGCGCCTCTCCACCTTTATTTTGCACCTTTTCTTACTTGGATCAAACTTAGATTTTCTGTTAACTCTTTTCATCTGTTCATACTTTTAGTAATCTGGTTTTTTAACAGTGCATGCAGACTTTATTTAGAGGTTGCTATGATATGCCCAAACTTGGCATTTTTTAATGGTTGTTTTTGTCACTTTTGGGAACGATAAAGCTCACCTTTAGCTAAATTTAACTAATACTAATCAATTTGTTAGTTAATTAGGTAGCATTACTGAGGGGCATTCAGTCGATTCGAAACCTAACCGAACTTTTAAAAATTCATTAATCGAATTTTTTTCGGTTTAACCGTTAACCGAACTAAAAAATTTTCAAAAATAATTAACCGAATCGAACAAAGTTCGGTTAATCGGTCAGTTAACTGAATTAACTGAAATTTTAAATAATATATTATATATTTAATATTTTTGACTAATTAGGTCGATTAATTTGGTTAAAACCGAAATTTAAACAATCCAAAAGCTATTACTATTATAAATAATATATGAAATATTTAAAATTTTTGGTTAATTAATCGAATTCTAATCGAATTTTTAAAAAATCATTAACAGTTAACTGATCAAACCTAAAATTAATTGACCGATTAATCGAAAAAATTTCAGTTCGATCAGTTTAATCGGTTAACCGAGATTTTGAACCCCTGATAATACTACAATCTTTGTAAACAGAGATGGATCCAAAAGTGTTGGGTACGAGCGTAACCCTAAGAATTTTAAATTTCATATAATTTATATATTATTCTATTTTTTATTTAAATTCTAATTTCGTAAATTTTTGTTTTTTTCTTAATTAACATAAAGACGTGTGGTTTCAAACAGATAATCGCCTGCCATTCGCTTTGCTGCCATTAATTAGATCGATCTTCAAAGTAGTCATTGGGTAGTAACATTAGTAGGATATTTTTTTAATAAAGCAAATTTATGGTTAAAATCTATTTGTGAAATTATAAATAAATGAAAAAAAACATTTTCATTATCAAACTTAATTGCAATATATATTTAAAAATTATAAAATTTTAAAAGAAAAGCAGATATTATAAAAAATAAAAATATGAAAAGAATAAGAGATTAAAAAATAATATTTTGCGTATATATAGATACAAACAAATATGATTGCATCGACAAACGAACTACGAAAGAGAATGAAACTACTGAAAGACCACCGATAACCTACAAATCAGAGTCGAGCCGCGTGAGAAATCTATCCACAAACGCAAATCGAGATTCCAAAGCAGCAAAGATCAACATGATAACAAATAAATGTTATCTTAATCGGTAATGACGATGTAAAATTCAACCTTGATAAAAAAGAAAAAGGACAATAACGATCAAATGAACGAAAGCGTACCACAAGGTAGAGAAAGACGTATTTTAAAAGCAGAGTAAAACATGTCATAAAGATAGAATTATTAAAAATAAATGAGAAAAAATCAAATATATGATCTAAGAAAATAGATAAAAAAATATTAACTGCGACGATTAATACTAAGGTTGTTGCCATCACGTACAACCAAAGAAGAAAAGAGAACAAACGACTAAAACCTTTAGGTGGCGTTTGGTTCGCTGGAATATTTATGAGGGAATTAGAATGAATTGAAATCTGTAGGAATTGGAATCTGAATCTGAAACCTGTTTGGTTGGCAGGAAATTGAATTGGAATTCAATTACATATTATGTTTGGTTCGCAGATATGTCAGATTAATTTGATTTCAGTAATGTAAAATGACAGAATTGCCCTTCTTGTTTTTTTTTTGCTTAATTTTAATTTGTTTTATAACTTACATGTAGCAATATATTATAAAAATTTAAAAAATATTATTTTTTTCATTTTTATTGATTATTCATTTCAATAAATTATAAAAATAAAACTAATAAACATTATAAGTTAAAATCATCTCAATTAGGGATAGCCATGGGTCGGGTTTTTGGTCCACTCGACCCAACTCGAGAACAAGGGAACCTCCACCCGAGACCCGACCCAACCCGACCAAAATACCCGACCCGACCCTACTTGAAATAATAAAAAAATTATTTTTATTCAATAAAAACAGTGACTTGATTGAAAAAAAAATATATATAGAGGGGTATTATTGTAATTATTCCTAAATATATAAGGTAAATTATATATTTTTTCGGGTCAGGTCGAGTATTTTTCACCCTAAACTCGAACCCGACCCGAATATCACACTTAAAAAAATCCGACCCGATCCCGAAATTTTTTAAAAAAATCCGAGCCGAATACCAAAAGATTGATGAGGGTAGTATGGTAAAATTTCACATTCTCTCCTCTAAAGGATTTCAATTCTATCATGTTATGGATGAAATTTACTTTCCCTCCCTTGATGGAATTGGATTCCAATTTCCCCTTTGAAAACTTGAATCAAACATGGGAAAGTGGTGAAATTGGATTCCAATTCCCCCTAATTCCAAAGGATTCCAGCGAACCAAACGCCACTTAGGGTAGAAAGAAAAGGGTTGAGGGAGAGAATTTTAAATCATTTATTTTATAATTATTGCATTGTAATGAATTCAAAATGAAAAATACATAAATAAAATGATAAACACTTACATAAGTCTAATAAAGAACAATTTAATTAATAAAGAACAATTTAATTAATGCATAACAACATTTTTCGGGATGAATTTCGATCGAGTCAAGTCGTGTTGAGTTAAAAAAATTAGATTATTCGAGTTGATGAGTTTTAATTTACAACTCGAGGTTGATTTGAAATTTTTTCGAGTTGAGTCGAATTTTTATTTAAATTTAATTGTAAATATTTATAATATTACGTTATTATTTGATTCTAATTTAAATGGTTTTTATAACCATATACAATACATATATATTTCTTCATAATTTTTTATATGTGATATATATATATATGTACATACATATAGAATCGAGTGACTCAGCTTAAACTTAAATATTGATTCACTAGTTACTAAAAATTCAAGTTATTCGAGTTGCATTTTACAACTCGATTTGGACTTGAAATTTTTTCGAGTCGTGTCGAGTTTATGAGATTACAACTCGAAGTTAATTCGAATTAAGTTTTTTCGAGACTAATGGAGTTGAAAAATTCAGGTTATTCAAGTTGATAGTTGGTCTTGCCATCAAGCTCTGAAAAGATTCTGTCGATGTACCACATCCTAATCTGCCAATATATTTGTGATTCTTAGTCACATGAACATACGTATTCTTTTGTTGCTTTGACGTAAAAAGAGAGCATGACGCTTAGAGAAGAAAATAAGGTCCTTTAAGCAACTTCATTTCTCGCCATTCATAGGATCCATAAAGTTAAACCAACCGATATCAGCCATAAGCTCTTGTGTACACCTCACGTGGCAACTTAAATTATAAGGTATGGATACCTAGTATGCTTATTCATCAATTAAGATAAATGGAATAATCATGGGAAGTGTCCTTTCATTTTTCCTTGTTTTTTGTCTAGCACTTCAACTTTAATCTTTTCACTTTATCTATCAAACTTTCTTTTTAGTATATTTTAGTCCTTATTCAAATTTCAAATCAGATCATATTCGATTTGAACTATTTTTTTTATCAAATTCATATTCTAAGCCTCACATTAATAATTTAATCCTTAAAAGTATTTTATAAATATCGATCATCAACAAAATTATAAACCAAGTTATGTGGTGCTACATAAATCACCTCCAATTCTTAGAATCCAACTATCATATCAAATAATATGAAAATGTTAATTTTTATTGGGGAAAAAACATCTTTATTTTGTTTTATTAGGTTTTAATTAGCTTTTAAGTGATTTAATTTTTTTTCTAATATTTTTAGGTGATTATCTCTTATAAAAATACCGTCTCTAGAATTTAAATTTAAGCTATCTCTTTTGTAGGGTACAAAGTTCATTTTATTATTTATATTTTCTAATATTTTTATCTCTAATATTTTAATTCTAACATAATGTTGATTTTGTTAAGTTTTGGACAGTTTTTCTTGTCCCCTCTGTGCCTACTTATCATTGTATGATTGAATTGTATGTCTCCGGTGTACAATGAATGTGTCAAATGAAGCATAAGAGTTGAGTACGACAAATCATCTAAATTAAGGTTTAATAAAAAAATAAGTATTCAAATTATATCTAAAGTTAATAATAGATATTTAATATTTAAAAAATATATGTAACGTTTTTGACGTTATACTCCTTCCCCATCACCATACTCATTTAATATTTACGTATCCACCACCTACCCAACATCCACAACGGGTAAAAACTTTAAATCTACACCCACTCATGCAAGTACATTCTTAAATCGATCCCCACATCTATTACCTAATTGAATACCCACCACTCATCCTGTAAACGTTTGTACTCGTTCATATCCACCGATTGAGATAGGAGAAAGGACATACTTCAATTTTAAAAATGTTTATACCATAATATTTGGTTAAATTACAAGTCATGTCCTATAAAATCATAACATTTATTAAAATAATCTTTGGAAGTATACCTAAATTCATAATTGTCCAAATTCTATATAGTGGATAGTTAGTTGGCGGGCGGATGTGAGGTGAGTAAGGTCTTAAACCCATCACCAATCCACTACCCACAGAGGGTATGCCTTTTATATTCACGCCCGTGCACTACCCACTAAACTTATACCCATCTCCACCCTAGTTAATGCGGGTATGGTGTAAAATCCACAAAATTGTACATGTCTGTCATTCCTATCGCCCACCCATGGATCGGTAATTGT